GAACCCTCTGTTGTGATCCTGGTCAGAGCAGTCAGTGGTGGTAGCCGGGCACCATCTAGCTGTACTGGACTCAGTCCGGTGGAGGCCTTGGTAGCTGTAGTCCATTAGTCCTTCGGACTAATCTTTTCCTTGTATCCTGTTCTCTTCATTCTCCCTTGCTCCCGAAGGGATAAGACCAGTGGATTATCTTAGATGGCCGCTCATAGGCTTTTAACACCCCAGACACTACTCACCAAGGTAGAATGTAGGACATTGTCTTTATAAACTGTTATGCCAGTTGAGCTGGATGTTCCCCGAGACCATGGTCCCCACAGCCCTCCTCCCAGCAATTCAGTCCCTCATGAGGTCCTTTTAATGGGAGAAGCCCATGTGTCTCCATCTGTATCCTTGAGCCCCAGCCCGTTCTGGCCCCTAAGGGGGGTGTGCTGGTGGGAACCAGGAGGTTCCACAATTCTTGAAACTTAAGCCTTTTCTCCTCCTCCCCCCATCCTGCCAGTTAATGATCTTTAATGTTGGCGCCACCGTTCTCTACATCACGGCCTTCATCACCTGCTCTGCTGTAGTTGAGCTGACGGCCCTGAAGGGCACCCGGCCGTATAACCAGCGTGCAGCTGCCTCCGTGAGTATGATCCCCTGGGGCTCCCTTCGCAGTCTGATGGGCCAAGCACCAGTCTCTGCCCCTGAACTCACAGTGGGTCTTGGAGGGGAGCTGGGCTGACTTTCAGGTTTCTGTAATTCACAGTAAAACCTTGAGGAACCAGAATGCTTGGGAAATGGTTTGTGAATCATTGTGCCACACTGATTTAGGATCAAATGTCCTGTTGAAGAATCTGCTAAAAACTAGGGACCCTCTCCTCTTGAAAAGTGCACATGTAAAAATCTGGGTTAAATCATTTTAGGAGATGCAGGGCTCTCTCACAAGCCCAAACTTGGGCTCCATGTCCACTGGTCAGAAAAGTAACAACAATCTCTAACACACCTGTCACAGTTTACTCCACAAGGCCATGCATGCACATTGTCTCACAGGATGATCCTGACTCTCCTGTGAGGAAGAGAGAACAGGGCCTTACAAGTCCCTTTTGACAGACAAGGAAACTGAGGCTCAGAGAGGCTAAATAACATGCTAGAGTCATTGTAAGTCCATAGTAGGATAGGATCTAGACCAGGCCTTGGGTTTCCTAATCCTTCCTAGTGAGGAGGGAGGTTCTGAAATCAGTAACTCAGTCACAGGCAAAGAAACATGGAGCTTTTGAATGTGGCTCTCGGTGTTAGCGTAGTAGCACGAACTGATTCCAGAAAATTCCTAGGGTGGCCTTTGAATGTTGCCTTTTTAAAAGTAAATCCCTGATAGGTGTCTAAAGTAGCTCCTACCCCTCAGTCACTCTTATCACATTACCTGGTTTGATATCCCTTATTGCCCTTATTGTAATTTAATATACTTTTGCATGGTTATTAACTATTTCCCCACTAGAAGGTAATGTTTGCATCCCCAGAGCGTGGGACCCATTAGCCCCTCAACAGAGAGTTGTTCAGTGAGTGTATGGGTGTAAGTGTGAGTCGGTGTGGCCGCCACAACTTGTTCTGGTTGAGGGGGCTGTTATTCGAGGTTTTACTCTACGTGTCTACCTGAGGGCATCTGGTTGGGACTTATCACCGTCACCCTCTCGCTCCCAGTGGGACCCTGTGACTGACTGTCTCGGTACCCTTCTCTCCCCTCTCTTCCAGTTCTTTGCGTGTTTAGTGATGATTGCCTACGGAGTGAGCGCCTTCTTCAGCTTCCAGGCCTGGCGAGGAGTAGGCAGCAATGCAGCCACCAGTCAGATGGCTGGTGGCTACACCTAACCCACCTGTGCCCATGGCCCACCGTGGGGCTGAAGGCTGCAGCTGGGTCACAGTGCAGGGTCACCCCCACAAGCACGAGGTGCGAGCCCTGGAGGGAGCCCGCCGGGCAGGGACTGTACTTGCTCACCAGACGAACTCTCACAACACTCCTAAGGAACAGGATCCTTCTGGTTTGGCCCAGTTGGCAAATATGTGGGCTGGAAACAGGCCAACGGCAGAGACGTCCTCCTCAGCCCCCTTATTCAGTGGAAGATGACGGGGACACGGGGTTCTCAGTCTCTGCTTTGTCTTTAGAGGATGTCAGCGTCCAAAGCTAGCTAGGGTCCACCCTTCTCACCAGCACTAAATGCACTAACAGAGGCTCCTCAGATCTGCAGCCCCTGACCCACCATAGTATAAGACTAACAAGCAACACTTATTTATCTTAGTCTTTGTTCCAGGGGAGCTGGGCAGTTCGTGAAACCTTTTCTGATTTCTTAAAACACAATTTGCCTCCCCCTGCCCCCAAGTCAACATGGCGCTTGGAGGAGGAGGATTATGATTTCTGACTGTGGTCTTTCCTTCCCTGCATTTCAAACATACATTATTTTAAAATAATCCATTTTATGCAATGGCTCCATGATGAAAACCCTATCCAGATTTTCTTCCCTTTCCCAAGCCGTTGGTTTTTAATACTCCCTTTGGGCAACTCTTAACATCAGCACCAGCTGCTCCCTGACACTGTTGATTAGGCACATGGGACATGAAATGAAGGAGGGAGGAATCAAGACCTCGCCTGGTGAGTTGTCATGTGGTTGGTGGTGACTTTGCTGTTGTTGGGTTTTCTTTTTTTACAAAAATAAAGATGGAAAAACTTATTTGAAAAAGATGTTGGGGGAATTGTAGTTACAGATGGCTGTAAACTCCAGGAAGCTGCAGGTTAAGGCTATACAAAGGTCCCAAAATGCCTATTAAGGGAAATTCAAGTTCTGGAGTCATTTAGCACCACCAGTCAATTCTGTGACCTGAGGTAGGTGACAGGATACTTCCTGGCTGCTCGGCCTGGCAGAGTCCCAGTGTATGCTATTTGTCATGGTATAAGTTTAAGTTCAGAGATGATCTAATCAAAGTGGCTGGCCCATGCAAGATGCTCAGAAAGATAGATGTTCTGATGTGCCAGACGCAGAGGTAGATGCTCAGGTAGAGAAAGCAGCAAGGAAAGCAGGCAAGTCCTACTGAGCTTATTTTTTAATACTGCAGACCAGCATTCTCCTTCAGGAAGACAAAGGCATTCCTAGGCACTTCTTTTAAAAAACAAAACAAAAACTGAGAACAGTTCAAATGAAACTGTATTTGAGCAGCTGGGGATGAGCTATTCCACTACTAATGGATGGGGAGCTAAATAGGGTACTCCCTTGTCCCAGTGTGTCTGGGACAAGCCCAGTTTGTGCCTGCTGTTCTGGTGTAAATAGCATAGCATCCTTTTTTTTCACTCTCAAGTGTCTCAGCTTGAGCGGTAAACTGGATAGTCATTCTACAAGAAGAGTCTAACTTCAAAGAATACCAATCTATTTTCTCTCAAGGCTTAAGGGGAAACAAAATTCTAGGCAAGTTGGGGAGCTTGGCCCTCTTACCAGGTTTCTAACTTCCTAAAACAGCCCATTTCAGTAGACGTTATTAACATTTAACATGCTTAGTTAAACAACTACCTGTTGGTTCAGCGGTGGCTCCCCAGTCCTTAGACTGCATTTGGGTAAATACGGCTTCCCAGAGGTCAGAGGGGTCCTAAGCAATGAGAGAAGGCACCCGTCTCCTGAGGCTGGGGCAGGAATGTTGGGTTTTCTCACCCCAGGCCAGGCCTGAGCCCCATCAAAGGTGGCACTGACATCACAGTCCTAAGTGTGTTTGGATGGACAGCAGAGTTCGTTCTGCCTTTCTTTTCCTAAAACAAATCAGAAAGCCTGTCTTCTAATATTAAGCTACAACAGGCTTGCTTGCTTTCTTCTCTGAGTGGAAAAGGGTGAAAAGAACAGTTTGCCTTTCTTCTTGCTGCTCTTTTTTCATTTTCTCTATGGGCTTGTCTTCTTGCATTTTCTCAACCAGGCAGGCTGTGACTGACAGGTCTCCATCAAGTGCTTCTAGCATACCTGACCTGTGACAGACAGGCCCATTTACAGTAGAGCAAGAAGGGACAGCAAGCCCAGGACAGGTGGCATTTTAAAACACTGGCTCTGAAAGTGCCTTTGCCCCAAAAGGACCCAGGCAGTAATCTCATGGTGGCTACATTCAAGAAAGGTGACTGCTTTAGAATGATGGTTCTTGTAAAACAAACACCTTGAATGTTACTCCTGTTACAAAAGTGTTTCTTAAGTGACATATCAGTAGAGAAAAGCGATATAACCTGTAGCTCATCCTTTAAAACCAGAACAGCCAAGTGAGAAGTCAGTACAGATTATTTTTATTTTTAAAAAAGGTACACATTGGGTATTAAACTACTATGTTTCTTCTTTCTAGAGATGTGATGTACATGTTTTCTGGTCAGTAATGTTACAGCAAGTATTTGATTAAACTAGAGCCAGACATGACCATTAAAGCCATTTGCTACCTCCTATTTGTGCTGAGCTAGGCCAGGAACACTATCTTGGTAGGAGAGATTTTGACAAGAAGGATCTGCAGGGTCATGGTTTTTCCCAGTCGACCCCGCCCCAACAGACAACCTAACAAACAGAAAGGACTTTACTCCAACCTGCACAAGCACACGTAACATGCTATACGAATAGGATACATTTAGTTTACTTCCAGCACAGCACACATTCACCGGTGCCCGGGAAAACAGGAACACTAATGTAGAAAGCATTTTTGCCTTCATAGCACTAACTAAAAAGCACATAGCATATAATACTTTGATCTTCAAGTGGGTAATCATGGACTTGCCAAGATTAGATCCACTAGTTGAGCCTGAGTATTCATCTATAAAAATATTTCTTCAAAAATAACACTTAAAAGAGGCTTAGAAATAGTGGGACTACATCAGGACCAGCAGAAGAGACAGTGATAAAAGGACTACAGACACAAGACTGGGAGGTAATTTCCACATGCAGCTTTTGGTAAAGGACGGCTCTCAGTTGAATCCCATGCCAAGACTAGCTGTGTCAATAGCAGCTTCAGAAATCTCAAGACAGACAGCTGCTTTGAATAACACCATACATAAAGCTCCCAAACAGTCAAAAACCCATACAGCTGGGCCACTGAGGCTGAATGACTGATGAAAACTGACCCAAGTGAGAGAGCTGTGTGTGCAAAGATTCCTGCAAAGCTGGCTGGGACAAACTGGGTTTACGATGGTGGCTTACTCTATATTGTTGACACACCAACACGTATGCTGTGGAAAGGGGCCCCCAGGTGGGATGCTGGACATGGGCTTGCTCCAGATGAGTCTGACTCAGAATACCTGAGAGGTGTCTACTCTGGAAGAAGCACTAGGGTTACTGAATCCAAGAAGGTGTTTCAGGAGAAAGGTCCCGGGTGGGTCAGGTCATGCTCTTTTTGACCCATCAATACTTAACATTAATGAAGAGTGGCAGAAGAGAGTAACAGAGTCAGTCATTCCAAGATGTATTCTCCCGTCATCATTAGCCTCTCCCAGTCTGTCGGGCTGGTGATGTCCACAGAGATCCCATAGCCCGAAGGTGGGACCTAGTGCCGCAGGTTGTTCTGGGAAGCTGGCATGGAAGAAGATTTGCACAACGAGGTCACCACTAAACCACTGCTTAAGTCTAGTCCCCGGCCTTCTTTTTCCTACGTGAGAAAAGAAACAACTTTAAGGGGCAAGAAGTGGCGAAGAGTCCTTTCTAGCTCAGAACCCTACCTCTGGTACAGGGAAGCAGGAGCTCAGAGCAGGAGTATGGATGGCCAGGGGGTATATAGAAGGGGAGAGGTAATTCTGCATTTCTGGTCACCCCTCCACTGAGAAACATTACTTTTTCCTATAAAAAGCCTGTATGATAAGAACAGCGAGGAAGAACTAGACCTGCGCTTGTGGTTTTGCCCTTTTGATTATTTACAGACCCTGAGATGGTGCCTGGGGCCTGTTTCACAAAAACATGAGAATGTGATTTGGTCCTGGGCAGAGAAGGGAAGTAGCTCACTCTTCTGATACCTTGCTAGCTGCTAGGCCAGTCTTACGGGGCAGCAATGGGAAAAGCATAGGAAGTAGTTTGTGTTTGGTAGTTTAATCAGAACTTTCTGAGTAGTTCAATGTGGCTAACTGAACAGGCAGAAGTGACTTACTGCTCTGTAGTCCAGAAACATTTCTTTAAAAGCCAGAAAATCCGTAAATGTGAGCAGCATGTCGAATATGTCACCAGCCACTTCATCTTTATGGTGCCTGCAAAAGGAAAGGATGGCTGTTTCATGAATGATGAAATGGACACTCAAGATTTCAGTTAAAGGTTGAGGGCTCAAGTACTCTAGGCCCTGACCATTCAGACACTGGAAAAAAGGGGTGGAGGTGGTGTATTTTTTTTTAGACTGGAGAAAGGGGGAGGAAAAAACCCATAAGAAGATACAACATCGTAAGTGCAACTCACTGTAATGCTGTTGTGAAGGCCGCCATGTTAAATCCAGGGATCCGCTCCATCAGTTGTTCTTCGATGTACTTTTCTACCAAAGAAATCTACAACAGTGGGAAGCACCTTGGTCAGCCCACACTTTAGGAAAACAACACTTTTTCAGAACGCCTGTCTTCCAGCTCTTACGAACATTTCTGGAGAGCCTAGTCTAGGTGTTAGGCTCCATGCTGAGTGCTGGGGGTACCAAAGACCAAAACACAGCTGTCCTTGAGGAGCACTCAGCCTACTGGGGGAGAGAGGGCTTAGCAGATAATTATACTGTTAACAGCATGGATGCTGTCATACAGGTAGACAGTCAGCAGTGGGGCTCCCAACCCCCATGGCAGGAAGGAATGATGAAATAAGTGGGGGAAACCCTGGTGGTGCAGTGGTTAAGAGTTCAGCTGCTAACCAAAAGGTCTGCAGTTCAAATCCACCAGGCGCTCCTTGGAAACCCTGTAGGGCAGTTCTACTCTGTCCTATAGGGTCACTATCAGTTGGAATTGACTACAGCAACAGGTTTGGTTTTGGTTTTATTTTCTTTTCTTCTTGGGTAGATGAAATCTGTGCAAAAAGAACATACAAAAAAGCATACACTTGGAGGCAGTCACAGGTTCCTTCTAAGCAGGTTTCACATCAACTGAAGCTTGGCTCAAGGAAACCTTCATTGATTATACATACCAAGCTTCTAGGTTAAGAAAATAAAGTCTTGGAGATTTAAGCGTATTCTTAGGCAGATGAGGTAATTAATTCCAGGAGGTTGCCAGAGGTGCCAGCGTACAGTGGAAAGACCCAAGGGTAAAGAGTTGAGGTACCTGGGTCTTGGTTTTGCAACCAACTAGGTAGGGACCTAAGAGTCGGAATCTACTAGATAGCAACAGAGGTTTGGTTTTTGGTAGGTAGGGACCTTGGTCTCAGTATTCCCTTGCTTAATAGTCATGCTTACCTGACTGGATTATGAAGTAGAAAAAAATAGTGTGTGGAAGGAAAAAGTTCAGAAGTATACAAATACAAGGTGTGTTGAACGCACACAACTGAAGGCAGGATTATGGTAAGGCAAATGTCTTTTAAATAAGATCATCAAACATTTGCCTGAAAGGCCTTTGGAAAACAGCCATAAGAGTTGTGTGGAGGAATAATGAACAGGAGATAAGAACTAAACCCAATTCTAATTAGAATGCCTGGCAATGTGCTGTGGCAGATTTTAAAGACAAGAGCAAATTTTAACATCTTTTGAGTCTAAATTTAAACTTTAAAGAAATCCTAATCTGGTAAGAGAAATAGAAATTTGCTTACATATTCATTAAAAATAGGTGTGTAGGTGAGTTTATTCTCTTCCGTGTCTTCAAACTCCTGGTAGTACTTGTCCATGAAATTTCTCTGTAGTACCTGGAACTCGTCATCTGAACCACAATAGGGAAGATTTATTCTTTTTAATGGAGACTAAACACCATTCTGCCACATAAGTAGGCAGTACAGTACTGCTTCCTCAATGGCTAGTCACTAAGAGAGGGAAAACTGACGGTGTTTAAGGGGGCAGCAGTTAACTGGGACATAGATGTTGAAACAGATTAATCCATTTCATTTATTGGCTTGGGGACTCCCTCATATTATTACTTCTGTAATGGAATGAATCGATTTCTCTCACCTGAGCTACATACTCCAAAATATAATTCCCAGAAGCAGTGGTGCAAACATTATTGTCATTAAAAAGTACGTGCTCTGACAGAGGCCAGAATGCTTGGGTCCAAATTCTCCCTTAGCCAAGTCGTGTGACCTTAGGCAAGTTAATTTCTCTAAGCCCCAGTTTCATCACCTGGAAAATGAGGACGGTGACGGTACCTATGTTAAAGGACTGCTAGGTGGATTTTAGATGAGAATTTATGTAGAGATTAGTTCACAGTGAGCACCTAATAAACGTTACAGACTTTTATCAACTGAAAAAGAATATCATTTCTAAAAATAAAAGGAAATCTTCACAAACGACCCAGACTTTGAGGTAAATAACCTGGGCTTACAGAAGACTCATCTTCCCTCAGCATACAGGCTCTCCATAAAGAGCAACAGAAGTGAATGGATTTCTTCTCAGTATTTTTCAGAAATCCACACATCCACATGGGATAAGAGTTCAACGGGGAAACATCTGCATTTAGTAGTGAAGGGCGTGAACCTCTACAGGACCCAAAGGGACGAAAACGATTTTCAGACTAAACTAGACTGTACTGTACAGCCAATAACACCAAATAAGTGTTCTTTTCCTAATTCTCTGAAAAGTCAATAGAATTTTCTCAAGTTTAAGTTTCTCCCCCCCAACATATTTGTCTTAAACTTCTGGTGCCTGTTACTGCTTGTCTGTTATGTAGCAAGTCTTAGGGATGCTAAAATAAATTCACAAATAGAAGCTCAAAACCCAGAACCTGCTGGAGTCTGACACGTTGTTTTCTTCATGGACATGTGGCTTATAGTTATGGTTTTATGCTGTTCTTATAGGGCATGAAAATGGTAAAACTCAAAACTATCTAAAAAGTGAAATTGCTCATATATGAAATAACCTAGGTCAATATTTCCTGAAACTTTGCCAAGAGCCCCATAACTTCTAGGTGCCCCATTACCTGAATAATTCCCTTCCAGGCCATGAAATTATGTTATTATTTATTTTCAGGAATACTAAGCTGTTTGCCTTGAAGGCAAATCAAGTAAAAGAAAGTGAGGCTTACTAATATCACACTGCACTACATTAATAATTATATGCAGCTTGATGTTTTCTCTCTCTCAAAATCAACTCTCCAAATTGATTTCAATGTTCTTAAAAGTGTCTAAGAACAAACTAGAGAGAGCACAGGTCAGGTTGTGGTGAGGAAGCTTACCCATGATAATGTCCTCTAAATATCCAACCACAGCATCGAATTCTGCATCAGAGGCGGAAGAGCTGAAAATGAATATGCCTGGATTAGGTGCTGTTTCAAATCATTCATTCAATTAAAAAAAATTTTTTTTGGACTTTTTAAAAGATACACAAAAGAAAAAAAAAAAATAAAACGAACTTCCCATCACCCAGCTTCAACAATTAAGAATGATTATTATCTAATCTAGCAGTTCCAAACAGAAAAGCTGCTTTACACATCCTTGACATAAAGGTGAATTAAGGTTCTGCTTTCAGAAAACCTGATTATGACACAATGAACTACAAAAGGGGCAAACGAAGCAAAGGCTCGTATCGGACAAAAAAGCCTTGAGCTATATTTGGCACTTATTTGCTGCAGGATCTACTCACTGCATCTTCGCTATCACCCCACACTTAATCTGCTTGTGAGCATGAACCCGGCGTGGGCGAGACACTGGCCAGGATCAGGAGTTGCTGGGGCGGCGGGCAGGAAGGTGGAGGATCCTCTGATCCAGGCCTTGGCAGCTCACACCCGCCAGGGCGTTGCTGACGACGAAGGGTCGGAGGCTGGGGGATTGTGATGAGGGGCTTGATAACCGGTGACATCGCCCCGCTCTCCGGTGCAGCGGGCCTGAGCCCCGTGGCCAGGTGGTCGCAGCAGTTACAGAATCAAGGCTGGGATCTGGGGCAGTGTCCGCCAACCCCCATTTTAAAGAGCCGAGGCCGAGGCGTCACTCACATGGATAGCGCGAAGCTCTCTTCCTCTAAGGCGTCCATCGCCGCGCCACATCCACCGCCACGGGCGAGCCGGCCCGTCGGCCTCCTATCGGGCCCGCGGCCCGGGCCCAGCCTTCGCTCCGCTCGGCACTGCTCCAACCGGCATCGAGGGCACGTCGGCTAGCCAGGAGGAGGCCTCGCAGCCGGGGCCTCAGGCTCCTCAGACTGTGGCCACGCGCCGGCCAGGCCGCTCTGCTCGCGCCGCCGCCACCGCGGGATCCCGGCGTCCGTTACTGAACGCTGGGCGCCGCGCCCCGCCTCCCGTCACCATGGCCACCGCACCCGCTTCCGCCCGCCTCATTTCCAGCCCGGAGCGCCCGCCTCGTGGATTCCTGACAGCCAATCACAGCGCGCGTTACCCGACGCCAGGGGCGGGACAAAAACTGGGAGCGGAATGGGAGAGGAAGGAAGGGAAAGGGAGACAAAGTCGCAAAGGGAATCTGCGCTCCGTTCAGCACAGAATGTACGGAAATGTTCACGTGCTGTGTAACAAATCTCACGTCACCTTCATTTTATGGATGAAGGAATTGAAACCAAGGGCCTCAATTTTCTCATTTGCAATTTATGGATAAGTTGCACTTTGTAGGGTGTTTGTGAAGACTAAAGCACGTTTTAAAGGCACTGTAAACTACAGGGTTGCTATGAGTCGGAATCGACTCGACGGCAATGGGTTACGGGTAAACCGCAAATCGCTGGAGAGCCAATTCCGTATCTTTTGAACCAGATACTGCGGACGTCTGATTTACAAAACAGTTACTCCCTCTTGTGGAAGGAAAGCCTAGCCGCAAGCATTGGAAGTCGTAATTTACATCATAGTTTTTATGTCATAAAGATTATTTGTCCGTAACTGCTTTCTTGGCTAATTGTGCAAGATAAGTTGACAGAGCCACTCGGAGCAACTCAACCAGAAATCAGAACACTTTGCTCCAAGAAAGGTCCCCTCCAAAACGGTGCTAAATTTTACAAAAGAATTCCCTAGGGGTGACTTGCCTGATTGGACCACCAAGCATTGTCTTTTTGGTTGCATACTTTTTGGCCAAATGTATGGTACATGTCTAGAGGGATTTACGGTATGGCTTAGGTTTGATCTGAGGGTCAGGTGGACATAAAATAGGTATCAATGGGATCTGAAACTAAAGGTGGGTTACAAATATACACAATTATATCTAGGGTGAGAACAATTTCTCAGAGCTATGCTTAGCACTAGGTAGAAGACGGGATTCCACAAAGGTCTGCTGAACAAGCTAGACGGAGTTCTGTTTAGTCAAGCACTAGTCAAACAGCTCGTAGCAAACTCAGCAAATTTCCTCATGACCTGCTTTCTCTATATACCACACTCATTTCTTCTGTATAAAATCAATTTGCCTACTCTTCCTGCTAGTGCAAAGTCTTTTATGGGGTCACAGTGGCAAAGGAACGAAACTTCGTGATTTCATCTGTTCTGGTACCTATTGCTGTTACAAACCACCTGAAAATGTAGTGGCTTAATTAAAACAAGTTATTTTACTCACCAATTTGGAATTTGCGCAGGGCTTGGCAGGGACAACTGGTCTCTCTGTTCAACTTGTCATCAGCTGGGGCAACTGAAATGGGGCTGGAGGAGCCTCTTCCAAGATAGCTCATTGGCATGGCTGGCAAATTGGTGTTGGCTCTCAGCTGAGATCTCAGCTGTGGCTACTGGCTGAACGGCTGGGGGTCTCTCAGTTCCTCTCTATGGAGGTCTTCCCGGGGATGTTTAGGTTATCTCACAACATGGCAGCTGGATCCATGAGCCACTATTTCAAACAACAGGAAGTGGAAGCTTCCAGTCTCTTAAGACTTGGGACTGGAAACTGGTACAGCATCACTTCCATGGTATTCTATTAGTCAAGCAGTCACAGAGCCCACTCAGATTGAAGGGGAAGGGGACATAAATCTCACTTCTTATAGGGAGGAATGTCTAAGAATTTGTGACCATCTTTAATCTACTACATCATTCTGACTAGGAACAAACGGGGATAAATAATAAGTACCTACTTCCTCAGGCATGTCCAGATACTGGGCTAAATATAAATACATTGTCTCCTTTTGAAATACTTAAAACCCTATGAAAAAAACACAAAAACAAAAACCCTATGAGATGGATATTGTCTCCATTTTACAGATTAGGAAACCAACGTTAAGACGTTAAGTACTTGCACACTGGTGATAAATTGTAAAGTGGTGCTGGAACCTGGGTCCAGTCTCACTCCTAGTAGTCTATCTTAACCATCATGTTATATTATCCCTAATTCCTGGGGAGCCAAACCAGACTCTTGGAAATCATAACATGTTTTTCTGCTGAAAAGAGAATGGTGGCCTTTTTCCCACTTCTAGAAAAATAAAAAATTGAATGTGTCAAATGTTTTTGCACCAATAATCTTTTCTTAAATCCTTTGACTGTGGGTTAGCACTAAGAATATTTTTAAGTGAATAAATAGCCAAAAATGAATGGGGAAACTTGGAAGGAACTGGTCTTAAGATTTCATAGATACGTATTCGAGATGGTTGAAATTCATGCAGGCCACTTCCTGCTGGTCAGATTGTTGTGGTTTCTGTGACTGGATCATTGTTTCCTGGCACTCTGCAAATGGCAGCATGACTTCCCTTTATCTATATAATACAAAAAAGGTAACAATTCATTAAGAAAAATTGGCTGGAACCCTGGGGCATTTTCCCAATAAACAATTGGAGAAATATCATAACTTTTTGTTTTTTTTTTTCCTGATACAGTATCAGCAGAAGTCTAGCTGTCTATTCTCTTACAATGCTTACATTCAGTGCAGAATATGGATCTATTTACTCTCTCCGAAAGGGCTTGCTAATCCCGTTTTTTTCTCTTCTCTGTGGAGTAAATGTCTTTCCCTTTGAAATAGAGCCAAGATTACAATGTTGTTTCCATTCTGAATGACTTTAAACAATTTAATATTGAAGTCCTCTTGTTTTATGGTCTAGAAGTTAAGAATTGGAAAAGTAGGCCATTTTATAAGCAGAATCTAAGGGTAGATTTCTAGAAAGCTAATAAGCCACTGCACTCCTTTGACTGCTGACAGATTATTAATTCCACTGACTTCTCTCCATCTCCACTGAATTTCCAGACCATCTTTACCCCTACCTGGACTACTCCAGAGTCTCTCTACTGGTCTTACTATTTCCAATTTTTGCTTGTCCCCTTCCCGCTCCCCCAACCCATTCTATTCTTCACACAAAAGTCAGAGCAATCTTTTAAAATCATTTATCAAGGCACTTCCATGCTTGAATGCCTTTGGTTTCCATTGCACTTTGGATAAAATACAAACTCCTCAACATGGCCTTCATGAAACCTCTCCAACGCTGGAACACACTACTCTATCCACGTGGCTCCTATCTTATTAGCTACAGGGACTTTCCATCAGATCCTGGAACCCACCAAGCTCCTTTCCTCCGTAGTTAGGGCCTTCGCCTATAATGTTGTGTTCACCCAGCTACCCAGTCCTAGAAGGCTTGTCCTCAGTCTCTTTGCCTGGTTATCACCTATTTAAGTTTCTACTAATGCTACTTCTGACACTCTCCCCTATCTAGATTAGGTCCCTCTCATTCTCTTACAGCACCCTATTCTTTTCCTTCAGGGCACTAACAATTTGATATAATAAATACAAATATATAGTCTTCTCCCCTACCAGACTTAAGCTCCATGAACAGATCTGTTTTATACTTCTCACAGACACAGTATCCAGCACATAATAGCTCCTCAATAAAGATTTGCTGGGTTAATAGTGATTAAACTTGCATTCTAATACTTGATTCTCTCCTACCCTGAAAAACCAATTGCTGTTAACTTGATTCCAACTCATGGTGACTCCATGTGTGTCTGAGTATGTCTTGGAACTTAGCAGCAGGCACCAATGAAAGTTGTGAAATCTTAATCAAAAAAGGCAACAAATGTTTTATTTCTTCAATGCAAATTACTGTATTCACCACAAGCTAAAGAAGAGAACATATATATATATATATATTTGAATTTATGGAAGACTAAAGACATGGAAAAAAATCCAGCACCCCAACAAGTACAGCCAGGAAGAAAATCAGCTCTGGTAGGACAGGTATAATGTAACTACAAACAAGAAAGGGTGGAAAAGGAAGAAAAAATGGGCATTGAGTTTAAGACACTGTAAAACTCAGAAGACATATTTACTATTCAAGTATAAACTCAGTAAGGACTTGGCATAAATTGAAAGGCAGCTGCTGAGGTACACCATTATAAAATAAGTTCTAGGAATTTACAATTCTACCTTCCAATTTTCTGGGAGAAAAAAACAAACTCTTGAAGATCTTCATCAGAAACCCTGAGAGGGATTAACACTTTTGATGAAGACATAGTCAACAATCCATGATTGAATTTACTATTAAAAACATGTATTTATTTAAAACAATAGTAATATGTGTTCTCAGACTGTCCTCTAGAGTTTTTGAGACTTAGTTCAAGAGTTTTAAAGTATATTACTTCCAAAAACAATACTGATTAAAAACATTTTTTAAACAAAAACGAAACAAAAAACCTGATTTGATGGTACCTTAAAAATACCCTAAAATACCAAATTTTCTCCAGTCTAACATTGCAATTAATGTAGGAATTCTTCCTGCATTGGTAAAACATTTTTTCATCATAAAATGTGGGTACTGAAATTGGATAGAAATATCATGAATGTGAAAATACCATCAATTTTCTGCCATTAAAAAAAAACTAGAATGTTCTTTGGAATCACTGAAACATCAAAAAATTTGAGATTTTTTTTTACAGTCTGCACCTTCTTTCAGGTCCTCCATGTTGCTTGTAGTATTGACCTGGGTGATTCTAATTTTATAGATTCAAGTCTTGCAGTGCAATATCCATGCTTAACTCACCAGTGTCTCTCTGACCTGTGGAAAGTTATGCTTACCCCAGAAACATTGTCATTTACTTCATCAATGATTTCTGCCTAAAAGAAAAACCTTAGGCTCTGAGACAAAACAGCCTGTATTAAACAATCAAATGAACCCAACATGGAGAATTCCGGTGCAGTTTCAGCACTCAGGAGGGCACTATCTCCTATTGTTTTTCATGAAAGTACCACAGGCCTAGCTGTTAGCCTTCAGCTTTCCTTGGCCTTAAAAGGAATTTCTCACGACTGGCAGGTTGGGTTAGATTCTAAAAGAATTTTGTCTTTGACAACTACCATTTTTAGCATAAAAT